GGGGGGTGGAATCAAAATCTCTTGCCCTCTCATAAATTATACCCCCAAAACCATCCCTGCCCCCAATGCGCCTGCCAGCCTCTGATCTCCAGCCTGGCATGCTTTACCGGGGGTATCAACCGTCTCCTAGCAACTGCAGGGACTGGATGTAGAGCTGGTTGCCATGGAAACTTTCCATCCTCCAGCATCAGGACCATAGTTTAACCCTGCAAGTGCCGGAGAGATGCCAGCGCCCCTCTTTGGAGTCTGGCTTCCTTTGGCGATGATGGGTGGTGTAGGACATCGTAGAATAGAGAGTAGGATTCCAGGAGGACATAGTAGGCGGTGTGTGGAGGTCATTACCGCTGTATCATGGGGTGGGTAGCAGCTCAGTCACCAGTCGGGTGACATCTTCCTGATAATCACAGGCTGGCAGGATTAATTAAACACCGAGACAGAAATAGGACAATCGTTTGAGGTGACATCACAGCGACATGCCAAGCCACGTCCTCCTGACACACTGACACAATGTACCAAGCCGCCGGAGCACCGAGGCTTGGATACAATGTAACATCTGATACCCTGGAAGGAGTTCTGTGATTGTTATATATTGTACGGGGACACTGATATAATGTCCCTTCATCAGAGGGGACTCCTGTGGTGTCATCAATGTGTCACACAAGGTGCCAGATGCACTGATGGTCACTTATAATGGGCAATTGCAACCATTGATGATCTACTGACCATGGAAGATCAGATCGGAGATCAATAATGGGGTACACGGGCAGCTGGAGAGTTTTACTCAATGATCACCAGGTTGGGACTAGGTGTGGAGATGTACGACCTTACCGAAATTTACAGAGAACCACCAAAGTTCCACCATAGTCTCCACCAAAGAACCACCATAGTCTCCATCATAGAACCACCATAGTCTCCACCATAGAACCACCATAGTTCCACCATAGATCCAGCATTGTTCCACAATAGTCTTCACCATAGAACCACCATAGTCTACACTAGTGGTAGGCAACCTTGGAACTACAGCTGTGGTCAAACTACAAATCCCATAATGCCTCTGACTATGGGAGTCATGACTGTGGTTATGAGAAGCTTGCAATGCCTCATGGGACTTGTAGTTCCACAACAGCTGGAGTGCCAAGGTTGCCTACCGCCGGTCTACACCATAGTTCCACCATAGAACCACCATAGTCTCCACCATAGAACCCCCATAGTTCCACCATAGATCCAACATTGTTCCACAATAGTCTTCACCATAGAACCACCATAGTCTACACCATAGTTCCACCATAATCTCCACCATAGAACCACCATAGTCTCCACCATAGAACCACCATAG